CAGTGACCATTTGCCTGGACCTCCCGCAATCGCTGAGGGTCCACCCCGTGTTCCATGTATCCCTGGTCAAGCCTGTGGTTTCCAGCCCCTTGTGTCCAGTGCCTGCTCCGCCGCCTCCTGCCCAGCTCTACAAGGGGGGTCTTGTCTGTAAGGTTCGACGGATCCTCGACTCACGCCCCCGGGGAAGGGGTGTGCAGTACTTGGTAGACTGGGAAGGATGTGGTCCAGAGGAGCGGTCCTGGATACCTCAGTCCTACATTGAAGAACCCTCCCTCATCATTGACTTTGAAGCTTCCCGATCCACTGCAAGGACGCCGAGGGGCGTCCGTTGAAGTGGGTGTCATGTTCCTGAGCTGAGGTGAGCACTCTCTCCACACTAACCATCTCTGAGGCAATTTTCCAAAGGTGAGGAGCGGAGGGAGCTGCAGGTGCACCGAATCTCCAATCTGGAGGTTGGGTATAAAGGGAGGATGGAGACGCCACACTATGCCGGATGATTGCACCTGTTAGGTAGCCCCAGCCTCTTGACTTTGTTTGCTCGTTTGGTTGTTAGAATTAGATATTCGATTTTTTGGCTCTGAACCTTCGACTGTTTTTCTGGATTACGCTTTTGGATTTTCCTCTGAAGCCTGTTTATTCTGTTCAGGATACTCAACTCTACACACTACTCTCGCCACTCGAACCCCGGATTTCCAGAACCACGTCCCATCCTCCTCATCAACGCCTGCCCGTTTGATCTCCGCTGCCTCACCCGACTCAGCCTGCTGAGCCACCACCTACACTCACTTTGGCTACCCACCTTTTCTGCACATCTTGGACACTTATATGGACTAAAGCCGAACGGCACACCCTCACTGGACTTACCAGTGCGCTTTTTGTTCCTGTTTGAAATAAAAGGATTTTTCTCTACTCACCCATTGAAGTCGTGTTGATTCTGCATGTCTTGGGTTAAACATCTCCCTCGAGTCATGACACTGTGTGCTACCTCACCCAGCAAGGACGACCCTTCGTGAGGATCTGGAGGTCAAGGGAGGATGGTTTCTTCCTCCAGGTACTCGGTCCGGTAGAGGAGACTGGAGGAAACGACTCTCTGGTCCGAAGATGTCGCCGGGTACACAGTGTCGAGCGTCTGGCTTACTCTGAAGGAGTTTCGTCTTACTTAACTCAAAAATCAATAACTCTGAGTTTTGCTTCAGCTGGCAACAGTTACGTTTATTCGTAGCTATTCTCATCGGCGTGACAGAACAGCAGGTGGAGGCTTCAGGGACGGCCATTCCCTGATCCTCTGATGGTGGTTGGTTCACGAACTGGTGTGAAAGCTGCTGGAAGTTAGTTTTACAAAGTCCTCAGAACACGCCCTCTCAGAGCAAGAAAACTTTGGTCATGAGTCAAAAAAACATATGACGAAAGTTACCCTTACTCTGGATCAGTTCTGTGTTGGATGGATAAGTGGAAGTTGACCTTCTGATTACTGAACACACATTACTGATCATCAACCATAGTCATAATTATACCCAAAGCATAATAATTCATTTCAGTAATTAAAATACATTTATACTGAACCAAGTGATTATTTATGATGATTATAATAAACAGTAATAAAGTCTAAGAGTTTATTAATATTATTATTTGGATTATTATCGTGAACTTGAAGTGTCCTTCTTCTGGGACAGAACAGCTGCAGATAAGGGGTGGTACTCAGCAGACATCAGGGCTCCTGGTTTAATCTGTGGACTTAAAAGTTACAGTCTGACCCAGCTTGACCCAGCTGGGAAAATGAAACCTTTGTCCTAAATTAGAGGACCTTCATGATGCTACACCATTTTCCTATAATCATGGTGTCACCAAATTTCCACTTTATTACAGATCAGTTATTCCCTATCACTGCCATAAAGCTTTGGGTTAGCAATTGTCTTGATTCCATGCATGAAACAATAAGCTGTGTTTGGTCCTGTTTGTCCATACCTTAACTGGTGTTTGTAATAACACGTAAATAACGCCTGATCAATGTCTAGCAATTCTCGAGAATTATCGGTGCATTCTGTCAAGAACTCATCCTTTAGATTACTTTGTGGTGTTAACTCTGAGACTGATTACATTGCGAAGATATAGGTATTAAATCCAACGGTCCAGTTCCAAAAACTGGTGGTGCCCTGATTAATTAATATAAGATTATAAACAAGCTAAATCTACGCCACATTTGATATATAGTGTCATGGTCCATGGTGAGCTGCCAGCCTGTAACCCTGTTTTCTCCTCTGAGCATTGTTTTCACAGGTGGGCGTGTCTGAGAGCTCCCAGCTGCAGCTGATTTCACCATCAAGGCCCAGGGGATTTAAGGAGCAGTGTGACACTTCACCACGCCGGATGATTACTCTTTTGGGTAGATCTAGCCTCCAACCTGACTTTGATATTTGTATTTTGTTCTTGTTAACCTGTCGCTTGAAAATCGCTGAATGCCCTTCCCTGCTCTCCTCCAGGTTTCTCTTAATCTCTCACCATCTCCGGAACAAACCCGGATCTCAGCCTACCTGACCACACTGCTTCATCCCCTGGCCGCCCGCTCTCAGCCGCTCACCTACCAACATCCATTCCTGCTCCTACGCCTCTGGATAAACCAATTCCCTTACCTTTGGATCTCCTCAGCTCACCCGGACCTGGCAACCCTCCCTGTACATTTACCACTACCAAGAAACGGTAAGCCCAGCCTCCAGATAAGTTTCCATTATTTCCACCTCAAATTCACTCTGTCTCCCTCCTCAGAATCTCCTCCTGGAATCCTGGTGCCAGTCCTGCATCTCGTCAGTTCCCGTCTCTCCCGTTGCTCCTTATTTAGTAATAAAAACCTTTTTACTTACCTTCTTGCTCTCCGTGTTGTGATTCTGCATGTCGTGGGTCGAGAAACTGCCACCCACCATGACATATTTAAATCTATATTTATTGCTACATTAGAAACAGCTGAATGTATATTATAACTGAGTCAGATCAGTACCACAAACTCAGGGCAGCAGTAGCCTGGAGGTTGAGTGGGTCCAGTAACAAGAAGGTTCTAGGTTAGATCCTGGCTGCGGACAGAATTCTGCTGTTGTGTCCTTGGGCAAGACATTCAACTCATCTTGCCTGACAGGGGGACTGATGGTGCATGTGCTTGCAGCCTTGCCTCTGTCAGGGGCAGCTGTGGCCACAATGTAGCTCATCACTACCAAGCTGTGAAAAGATGAATGAACACACACACATGCACACACACACAAACGCACGCGCGCGCACGCACGCACGCACACACACACACACACATACACATACACACACTCATCAGGTGTTGTGAATGGAGGAGTGGACTCACCAGCAGCGTGGGAAGACCGGCCACCACGGCGTACAGCAACACCGGCGGGACGGCGCTGGTCTCCTCCGGACCCATGTACGGTTTGGTGAAGGTGGTGTCGTAGCAGAAGAAGCCCTGCACGTGCACGTTGAAGGTGTCGGTGTACTCGAAGTAGTAGGCCAGCATGACGGTCCCGGCCATGATCACCAGCTGGAAATACAGCATGATGGAGACGGAAAGCACAGAGCATGTGATCAGAACCGAGCCCTCAGCCTGCCTCCTCCTCCTCCTCCTCGGCAGCGATCATCACGGCCCGGCGGTCCGGTGGTCCCGGTGTCTCCGCTCACCTCACTGCGACTGACTGGGCACCGAGAGCGCGCGGGAGCGTGTGGAAGTGGGGAGAGGGTAGCCTATGGAGAGAGCGCTAAGCAGGAGGCTGGTCTAACGCGACCCGCGTGCGTGCGCGCGTGTGCGCAAGGAGCGGATCAGCTGGTTAAGGGAACTGATGTCAGATCAGATCCAGATGCAGACTAAAGCGAGGGTCCAGTTCAAAGCTCCGCGACACCTGATCAGCTGTTGGAGGTAAACAGGCTGGTTTAAGCATTCAGGATGAAATCAGCTGATTTATACTGCTGAGTCCATTTGTTTATGTAAACATGTTTAATCATATCACATTGTGTTTATTATAATTAGACAGACATGCTTTCCGTTTTAATACATTCTCCAGATCTTTGACATTACCCGTTAGGACTTGTGATATTGAGTTATTAATATCTGAGCAGGGAGTTCAGCAGGTGGTCTACGCCTCATAACCCAAACCATGTCTCTGACTGGGGTAAACTGGAACACCAGCCTACAAGTCATCACAAGCTAGACCATAATAGCACACATTTGGTTTGTGATGGAGCAGACAGCAGTTCATATCGCTGCAGGCAGCGTAAATAAACATGACTTGTTAAAAGGCAAAGCACAGAAGAAGAAAACATCAAAGTTCTACACTTCGAGCAGCCAGCCTTATCTAGCATGTCAGATTTCATAAGAAATTAATGCAGCATCTTTCCGCCAACCGGCTGATGTGAAGCTGCAGGCGTGAGAGGCTGGTGGGATCAGAGGTTCTCACCGAGTTCCTCGGAGAAAAACCATGTGCAGCAGTGTGGTGTCTCCTCGTGGAGATACCCAGTCCAACCAGGAGCCACCCAGCAGCAGTTAAACTAAAGCATGCACAAAGAAAACGAATGGATTGTTTTATTGATGTTGGTTTAGTTGTTGTAGAGCCCATTTACTATAAACCAGAGTGATGTCCCAGTTGGTCTCCAGAAGGCTGCTGGTTTCTTCTATAAGAACAGAACACGTAGAACCTGCAGTAGAACCACTGAAGGTTCCCCTACAAAAGGCTCCCTCTAGTGGTAAAACCACGGAAGGAACTAAAGCTTGCATTGGTTTAATTTTTTTAAACAGAGGCTGAAAAATATCAAACTTTATTCCAGTAAATGTTTAATATCTGTTTCTATAATGTTTGTGTGTCTTTATGAATATTTCTAGAATAAATAAGCAGATTCATCTAACTTATCTTTAGTCTGCATGTAGCATCTGAACCTTCCAACACTCAGATTCATCTTTACATGGATTTAATTTGGTTATAATCAAGCTACAGCAAAGGAATGGATTAGATGTGAGGATTAAAAACGACTGTAACTTTTCATTCATTCAGATGCTTTCAGAGTCAAAACTACAGAAACATTCCCAAAGATTATCTGTCAAAGGATTCCTGTTAAAAAGTCTTCTATGTAGAGTTTCCTAGACGTCTCTCCAGCCAGACTTTTTAATAACTGATTGGAACCGATCTGATTCCTGAAGCTCCGGAACTCGTCTGTAGAGCAGACTTCAAATCCATGAGGAACCAAACTTCTCCTCAAGCCCTCCCCAGGTGACCTGACTGATTTCAGGTGTTCCATGATGTCTTCTGTCTTCTCTTTAGAGAGTAGGAAGGGCTTAGACAGGGGCTGGTGTAATTCTGTTGTCGCGCCGCTAGATGGAGGCAGAATAAAGATGCTCCAGCGAGACTCTGTGGAATGAATGACCCTAAAAAAATCCAATTTTAGGAGAACTCAAGTACAAGGAAAGGTCTAGGCACTCTTCTGTGGGTGGTAAAGTGGAGGTCTGAGGTCCCAGCAGGGGACCAGAGCTCCTGATGACAGAAAAAGGTTTAGACTTTGTTATTTTTTATTACTCAAATGACATGAACAGTTTAGTGTGTGCCGTTAATCAGAAAACACATTTGAAATGAGATCGTTTGTGAATTTTATTTGTAACCAAGTTTATTTCCCCCAAAACATTTTAGAAGAGCCGTCCTGCTAATAACAGAGACAAAGTGTGCATTGTTGCAGTGGTGAAACAGACATATGTTTTTATTACAGCCTACAGGAGCTGTGGCCTGAAGGGCATTGGTGCACCCAGAGGGCACGTTGGTGAACACCAGCTGTGATGGGAGCTGTCAGTCTAAAGAAGGCCTTTGGGGCTTGGCTGTCCTGTATGCTGACAGGTACCAGATGGCCAAAAGGACGGTAGCTTTAGTGATGGCATAAGGAAAATCTCAGGTGTGAGAACAATAAGAGGTCATGGAGAAGGACTTCCTGTTGGCCTGGAGGGGATTCTGGCAAACTGTCAAACGGTGACTCGGAAAAGAAAAGCTGGGCTCGTCCTAGGCTGTTAATATTGTGAGTGGAGGACTGCTGACCAGAGCCCCGATAACTAGCCAAACACAAACCTTTAATACACCCTACAACAGAAAGACTGTTTGGCCCTGCCCACTCAGAAATTAATATTAAATTAGCTGCATGCTGATTGGCCAGTTTACCTATGGTAACTTGTAAATTTGTACAGCACCTTCTTAGGATTCTTCAACCCCCCCAACGCAATCAATCATCCACCTAGGGCGCTCCATGGGCACGTCCGACTAGGAGGAGTCGTTGAAAGCATGTTTCTTTGTGACAATAGTCTTATCAGACGACCGCTTCCATGGTCTCCTCACTTCCGCAACGCGAGCATCCCGGTTTAGTTCAGCTGACCAGTTTGCAAGCGGAATTTCATCGGATTGCTACCGCAGTATCTGGGTGCATCAGCTCGATTAGAACTAGTTCACCTTCAGCCAGGCTAACACGTTTACATGCAATTAAACGAAAACGATGTGAGTTTTTTTAGGGCAATACTTTGACTTTCGGGAGTGTGATGTAGATCTGTGAGGATTTTCCAATCCTAGAGTTTCACCGTCTATTTTCTGTCAGAAGCTAATGCAGGAGGTAGGTGTAGGAGACTATTTTCATGTTCAGCCTGCAAGAAAATCTCAGTGACTGATTACAATCAGAAAAAAACATTAAAAAAAGATTTTTCAGTGTTCCACACCTTTAAACTGGAGCATTAGCAGTAACCTGGGCTTGCTTTGTAGTTGGCACATGTGGTACATTATCACCACCTTTATTGTGAGGTGGATTGGAACAGCTCCAATGACCAGTTATGGCAGCTTTGTTCAGACTAAACACTTTCTCTGTGGCCATTTCAACAGTACTAATCTGCACAGGAAGCAGGTCGTTATCATATAGCACACCCCAAGCTGCCAAGGTGCAACAACAAGGTGTGGTTTCAAATGTTTAACAACCCCTGACAAAGATGTCAGCAAGGAGAATCCGACCTCTATAACAAAGCATCTCAGAGCTAGCATTCCTGAAAGAGCATTTTAGAGTCCCGTGTTAGAAAGAGGGAGATGGATGTGGTCTTACCTCCCAACCCAGAGACTGGTACAGTTTCCTTTGCTCTTTTCTACTCGGGTGTGTTGAAGGCATGCTGATTGATTCTGCAAGAATAAGAAAAGATAAATCAGTTCTTCTCAGAGCAAATCAAATTATTCAAATAAATCACCTTCATAGAGAAAAATATGTAAGTCTAATCAGCTTATAGTTTATGAATTTTAATGGGTTTTTTCCCCATTTCCAATCCTTAGGCCAATACTGAAAAAGATACTTCATATTTTGCTCATATATTGACCGTTCAAAACCGAAGAAACCCTCCAGTCAACATGACACCAGTTCTACGTGATACAGCGGAGGTCCGATGACTGGCTTCCCCAGCAGAACCTTTAAAATGGGACTAGTGTGGGTTTGACTTCAACAAAGGGCTCAATTATCCACAGCTGGACTACCTGGTAAACTTTAGACTGGATCTCTCTCTGATGGCAGCCATCTGACACAGGTAAACATCATTGTGTGGCATAGGTGTGACCAAGTCACTTTGCAAGTTACAAGTAAGTCTTTCCAGTCAAGTATTGAGTCAAGTCCAAGTCAAAGACAACCAAGTCCAAGTCAAGTCCACAGTCAATGATGTGGAAGTCCAAGTCAAGCCCAAGTCCTTAACTTTGAATTTTCAAGTCATAATCAAGTCATCTGTCAAACTTCTATTTAATGACAATGACAATATATAAATTCCAGAAATAAAACTTCTTAAAGCTTTATTTATTTACTCAAACAAGCAGAAAGTGAAACTGATTATAAACAAAGTGCTGCTGCAGTCAGCAGTAAATCAAACCCAGAACCAAGAATGATTTATGATTTTTGTCCACGTCGTGTCACTTTTGTGCTAAAATATCAAATATGTTCAAGTCATCATCAAGTCAACAGATGCAAGTCGATTCAAGTCGCAAGTCATTGGTGTTCAAGTTTGAGTCAAGTCGTAAGTCTTTATAGATTTTATCAAGTCAAGTCAGAAGTGATTAAAATAATGACTCAAGTCTGACTCGAATCCAAGTCATGTGACTCGAGTCCACACCTCTGCTGTGTGGTTCTGCCGTTGTGAAGAGAGACTCAGATAAGACCTTCAGACTCACAGGATCAGGTTCTTTCTCTGAAATAAGTGCTTTCCAACTGCAGGCGGTACGGAGCACACCTTAACCCGGTGACCCTGTAACATGATTATCTGGCTCACATTTTAGTCCCATTACAGTATGTCACTGAAGCAGTGAACTGAACTGAATAAAACTACCAACAATCCAACAAAATTGATAAACATTATTATTATTATTATTATTATTATTATTATTATTATTATTATTGTTGTTGTTGTTGTTGTTGTTGTTGTTGTATTAATAATAATAATACATTTATTAGTTATTTTAATTATTATTATTATTATTTGGCTCAGCTTGAGTATCTCTGTAAAAAACTATTGAATTTAAAGGACTTGTGCATGATGAATAAACGTTGTAAAACAAATAAAAGTAGCCTACCTCGTCTCACTGGTGACATGAATCAGCTGATCTTTAAAGTCATACAGAACCATGTAGGTATTGTGTCTCTGCACACATCTATTTGAGATGGTCTGAAAACTGTAACATGTCCGTATTACAGTGGAAAGCTCTGTTGCATCACAACTTTGTCAGGATTTACCGTAAAAATAAACATGAAAAGAATGACTGACAAAGAAAAACTAGATATCATTGAAGTCCACATAATTCTTATGTCTGTATGTAAATGGTCCAATTGTTACCCGTACGGCCCCCCGATACAATGATTGTAGACCCGCCCCTGGCTCTGCTCTTCGGGATATGAAGGTGTAGAATGAACCAGTCCGGGAGCAGTTCTTACCTGGGACGGTACCGGGACTCGGGAGCACGGCTCCGCCTTACCGGATCCTCGGTGACACAAGCAGACCTCTTACCAGCTCCTCGGTCCTTCGCCCGGTCCCACAGGACAGGACAGCCTCCAGCTGGTCGTCACAACATCACGGCCGGTGTTCACCGAACACTCCGCGTTCACGAGCTCATCGGCTGCTGAGGCGCATGCGCAGCAACTTCGGTCGTGGAATAGTAATTCTTACATAAAATACTTTGGATTCTTGTACCTGTGCACTTTATTATAATGATATGAATCATATGAGTTATTATCGTAACATTTCAAAATAAAATGCGTATCCAGAAATTTAAACAGGGACCTTAGTTTATTTTTGAAGAAGTTTTATTGTTATTCTTCATGTTAATGTTGTTTCAAAATGTTCCCAAAGTGTCACGAAATAAATAAATCAAATGTTATATTAATGTTAAACTTTACAAATATTTCTCCTGTGGAGCACTTTCTGGATCTTATAGAAGGGAGGTAGGCTGTTGGCAGTAACACACACATACTCTCACACACACACACACACCAGGTGATGTGTGGAAGATGGTGCTGAAGATGAGTGGTCACGTGACTTGTGGTGTCCATTTACCTGAGCAGCAGGAAGCTGTAAAAATGAGCTGGTTAACGTGAAACCTTCTCCCAGGTGTCCCTCTGGGACTTTGATGCTGGTTGCAAACTCAGACTGAGTCTAAAGATCAGCATAAAAGCATCATGTAAAAGTCACACCAGTTAGTTTACTGGCAGGAGAACAAGACCTTTACTGGTTTGTGTTGAGTGTGGGGGGTTAGGGTTCATTATATTGTTTAATATTATTATTATGATGGATTTAAAGTACATTTTATTCATCCTTTAGTCTCTTCTAAAATAAGCTTATTGTCTAATATTTAACAGTAAATTCCATTTTTGTGTAAATGTAACTCTCAGCTCAAGAAATGCAGTCAGCAGGCTTTTGTGATCCATTTGTATGGCCGTGTTTAAGACTTTATTACAAATGAAAGAATTAATGAATGAATGAATGAATGAATGAATGAATGAATGAATGAATGACTCGGCGGTTCCCAGCATGTTCAAACCGGTAAGAAGAAAATTCTCAGATCTGAACCGTGGCATCACTCCTCAGGGCGCATGCGCCACCCCCCGCCCCGCCTCCTTCTCCGTCTCCGTTTGTAACGTTCTGCTCCACCTGACGGCTGGCAGGAAGACATGCTCGGAACAGCGCTCTGAGCTCCATCAGTACCGATCCGGACCTGGTCAGAGCAGGTTTCAGGTCGGATTGGAGCCATCCTGGATGATGGAGCGCTCCTGATCCCGCTGGACGGCCGTCTCCTTTCGTCTCATCTCGGTTGTGCTCGGACAAACGGAGGCCTGAACATGTCTGCGCGGGAGAAGGGGGTCCGGGTCCAGACCAAAGACAGCGTCAGCCTGCTGCCCTGTTTCTACTTCGTGGAGGTGAGTTCCATCAGAAGGTGGAGCAGCTCCATCAACGCAGATTGAAGACTCAGATCCAAAGATGAATGTGGACTAAATATGTATTAAAAATAAAATCATCTTAACTGGAAACATCAGGATCATCATGAAATAAGCGAAACCTCATCTGTCAGTCTAGAGTCAGACTTCTTCTCATGATATTTAATCTTCATGCTGAAATATTTCCATCAGCAGATTAAAGGCTGCACAGCCAGGTTTACAGGCGTGATGCAGCCATGAGGAGGAGAGGAGACTGCTTCTCATCCATAATGGCTGCACGATGGATGTAGAGGTCCCTGGAGGCTGACCTTTAGCCTCACCCAGACTGAAGTGTTTTTATTTTTACCATTCCTCTGAGACCCATATGAAAGTTTCTGAAGACATCTACAGCAGGTTCGCCTTCAATCTGCATCAGCCCCCTTCCCGTTCTGATTCACACATGTTCTCCTGATGTGGTCTGGTGATGTTTGGATAAAAGCATAAACCCATTATCTCCTAAACTCCAGAACACAGGCTTTTTGGCATGGTTTGGTTTCACTCCAGTCTGGTTTACCTATGCCAGATATGCCAGATGAACCAGTGAGGCACTGGGTTTTTAGTCCAATGGGGCACTGGGTTTGTGTGGTTTCAGAACTCATATTTATGACGAAGATAGCTGATCTTCACTCTGTCATCCTCTGTTCTCCTGGTCCTTCTGACAGATTTGGATGATTTTCTAGAGAGAGCATCAGCTGGCTAGCTGCATTGTAGCTGCAGAAAGCCTTTCAGTGAGTCCATAGCAGAGATTTTCAGAATGGTTTTAGTACGTGCTACTCGAATGTTGATAGTCTGGCACTTTCACTTGCCCTAATACTGTATATGAACACAAGCAACAGTACTCCAAATAGCTTTTAAACCTTTAAAGTGACGATGTGTATTTTCCCTGACTAAAAGGGTGGAGTACATACCTAAATCCCTAAAAGCAAGCTGTATTTTTGTGTTTGAGTAAGACCTTACTAACGGAAGGCCATTAGGGTCAAAAATCCCGTCAGCAAAATGACGAGCACATCAGACTCCCTTTCATCACTCGCAAGGAGTGCAGAGGTAAATATGTAAAACAACAACGTTTGTAAATGGTGAAAGTTTTGTAACCATTTGTTACAAATCAGTAATTGCATTTTGTCCTCACGGGCTCCTGTAGAAGACAAAACAGCGTCTTATATGGCGTCGCCCTGAGAATTAGACCCGCACCATGTATTTTAGACCCGATTTTTATGGTTACGTGTTACAAAGCTGCCAATATTTTTCAAGAACGACATAATTTCATTCCTTTTGATCAACATTTCAATGGATAATTCCAGAGATTAGTGGTAATAGCTACACATTGTCTCTTTTGTCTAAGAACTAGCTATAATAAACATGATTTAATACATGTAGACTTTGCTGCTTGGGATCAGGAGAGGTCCATGAGCAGACCACAGATGGGTTCGATAGGTTTTTATCTTCACTTGCATCTCACTCCTCAGGTCATATTTCCATGCCTCTGTCCCAATTATCAAATCAAATTACTGTGGTCACTGACCCAAACCATATGGGGACATCTGCCATTTCCACTGCTTAGTTATCTATGTATTTATTCATTGGCAATCTGCTAATGTTGCTGCTGTTATGACTTCTAGGGCTGAAATAACTTTCCCTTCCTGTCCCTGTGTAGCTACCCATTCTGGTATCATTGGTAGTCAGTCTTTACTTCCTGGAGTGGACGGACGTGTTCAAGCCTGTCAAGTCCGGCTTCAACTGTCATGACCGCAGCCTGAGCCTACCCTACATTGACCCAAACCATGAGGCCATCCCTTTGCTGATGTTGCTCAGTCTGGCCTTTGCTGGACCAGCCATCACA